TCCCACAAAAATACCTGCTCTAAATGCCACTGGTCAGTCAATATTTCAGTGAATGACCTGAGCCCAAGGGAGCAAAGCTTACCTCTGCTGGAGGCCGCTATGTCACAAGAGACATTGGGCACGTCACAATAAGCACCAGCCCATCCAGATGGACACAGGCACCGGGACTCTGCTTTTTCCTGAACGCAAGTACCTTTGTTTTTACATGGAGACTGACTGCAGAGGTTCACCAGGGTCTGAAACAGAGGAGGAGTGTACATACATCAAAATTCAAATACGAGAAATGAAGAAAAGAAGCTATACTGTGTTACAAGAAATCAAAGAAAAGCACACTGATTAGAAAGAAAAGAGAGCCTTCATCTACTAAAAGAGCGCTTAAACTAGATTCAGGGTTCCGAGGTACACCTAACCATTTTTATGTACCATAAGTCTTCACTAAATGTCATTATTAGGTTCTTGGAAGCTGTGACTTTAAGCACAACGATATATAACAAAACCAATTTTACCACAGTATAATTGATACAAACAAGAGTTAAGTTCCTATACATATTTCTGGTCAAAAGAAAATCATTAAACTTCAAATTAACACCCACTTCTAATATTAAACATTGAAATAAACAAACTATACATTCATGTAAGAAAGATTAATAAAAACAAGATAATTATTTATCCAATTTTTGGTGAATCCGTAACGGTAGTCCTAGAGGCGGCAGGTCAAATCAAGGAATAAATGTTTACAAAGCAAAATTGTCAGTACCTCTTACCCAACCACACAATTCAGAAAGCAACACTAACCAATATAACAGGCTTGCTGGGTGCTTTTGTACCACATTGTTTATTGTTGTGCACTCACATGAGTATTATAGGCATTATGAGTTTTAGTTTTAATAATAATTGGTATATTCATTCATTTATTTTCTAACCCATTTATTCCAGTTCAGGTTCATGAGTGGCCAGAGCCTATTCTGGCAGACTGGGACAGTATAGACATGCCCACTTCACCCAACGTGCACAGCTTTGGGTTGTGGGAGGAAACTGAGGACCCTGGAGAAAATCCATGAAGTCACGGGGAGAACATGCAAACTCCACACAGATAGCAGCTCTAGCCAAAAACAGATTTTTTTCCCCACTCAATGTTACAACAAAATGACACTGAATGAAACAAAGTGATTTGAGGGCCTGCTGTAGTCTAATTCCTCTTAGGTCTTCTAAAGTTCTTAACACAAAAGTTTAAGAATTTGGGGAAACCCAACAGGTTTAGCTATTCCCAATGCTCTAGATATGATCTGCCTACATGTATGGCCACCCTGTAGTGCTAGAAAGAAAGAATTAAAGCTGTCAGACAGGTTCATACTTTCTGTGCTAATCCTGTTTGAGAAATCCACATGGGTCTTGACCAAATCTATTCGTGGTGAATACGGGTAAAAGGACTTAACGCCTGTTAATAAACCTAAAACCTTTAAGAGCTTATTTCTAAGGAAGACAATCAGGCTTATGAAAAATGTGAGGCAGGAGGAGGATCCAAGATGGCCAATTAGACACAACTCCAGTGCACAACACCCAGC